AAAAAAAAAAAAAAAAAAAAGAATCCTAACGACAGCAGCAATCCCTGACTTACAGCACTTACAGTTAACAAAGGACTTAACATGCCCATCTTCCCTGGAAAGGAGGTGCTCCTGCCTCTCTGTAGGTCGGGAAACTGAGGTTCTGTAAGGTTAGCCAGCCTCTCATCATCCTGCTTCCGCCAGGCCCCGAGGCCAGGCCCTCCTTGTTTGCCTTGCAGTCTCCACCTTCCCGCTCTAAGAACAGCCAACTCCTAGGCCCACAGCCTCCTGGCTTGTCCATGCAGCCCACCGGGAGAGCAGAGAGCCCACCGAGACGAGCACGTTCCACTCTGAGACCCCTATCAAGACAAGCATTAGAAGAGACCACAGTCTCTGTTTTCAACCATTGCTCACATATGGCAGCCTCTGTTTAAATGAAATAATACGATGACCCCAATTTAGAGGAGCAGCTGGTGGAACTGAGGCAGGAATTGCATGTCCCTGAACTCCACCTATTGGGCCAGCCATCTCCCCTCGTTACTGTTTCCCAGTGGTTCCCCACAGGCACCTCTTAGGAACCCCAGAGCTACAGGAGCACAGTGAGAAGACCACCGCCCAAACCCTCCCTGCAGACTTGGGGAAACTGAGGACCTGGGAGAGGAAGCTCACACTGACAGTCGGTGCCTGTCTAGACTAGGAAGCTGGTGCAGGCCTGTCCCTGTCCACTTGCCTTGAAAGGCAAGATCAGCCTAAGGAGCAGCTGATTGGCCCCACTGATTTGGACAAGACAAGGACAAGCTCACCCGTGACCCCTCGCACAGCCCCTCCCACAGGCAGCACGGTCCCCTTCCCAGGGTTATTCTGGGCAGAGTGATCCAGCTGCCCCCTGGAGCTGCCAGTCAAGTGTGGAGGGGGCAGGGACACAGCACAAGAGCACTGTGGGGCCCGGGCACTGCCCGTCACCTCAATGGCTTAGGAAGGTGAGGGGCTGGGGGTTCCTCTGCAGAAGACCCCACCCTGCTGTGTGGTTTGGGATTTAGAGACGCCCTGGGGACACCCTAGTTCTACTGTAGTTCCCCATCACTGCAATGATGTTCAAGGCCCACGGGGCCTGGCATTCAAGCACGTTAGTTTAGACCATAGTGGTAGAGGGGGAGTGTCCGAGTCTGGGCTGCCCTGGGCTGAGATGCCAATGGCCTCCCACCCCGAAAGGCTCATGTCGTCTTTAGCCACAAGTCAGGAGTGTGCAGGGTTGAGGGGTCCCAGGGGTAGGGACTCTAACATGAGCTATGCCAGGCTGCTGCCCCTGCAGACTCCACAGTCCACTAGGACCTCCAGGACCCAACCCAAGCTCCTCATGAGGGCCTCAGGAAGCCTCCAAGAATCTCTCCATCCTCCTCACCCACTCCCACCTAGCAAGCTGCACCAGAGGAATGACCTGTCCTTGACACTTGTTCATACCAGGGAACAGGTATGAACAGGAAGGCTCCCACGTTGCCATGGACTCATCTTAACCTTGACATGAGTTCAACAAAATCAATAAATAACAACAATCAATCAGTAAAAACAAACCCTCCCAGGGTCCTTGCCTGCCCACCCTCACTATGACGCTACGCCCAGCAGGCCAGGTAGCAGAGGAAGTTGCCAGGGGATATTCATTTTGAGGCCACTTCACCCCTAAGACCCATAGCTATGTCCCTCAAACCCCAGGAGCTCTGAGCATCACCTACAGGGAGGCCAAGATGGACAGGGGTCTTTGCCTGACACCCATCCTGGCAGCCCACACAGCCGGGGCCCCAGGTGTGACTGGGCTCGTTTCTGGAGGCCACAAAAGGGGCCATGGCCAGCATTCCAGAGAACCCACATCTCCCTTGTTTCCCATTCCATCCTCATAGCCTCCCTGATTCTCACCAGCTTCACCTTCCTCCACAGCCCCCCGGCCTCCCACCCTTCTCCCCTGTCCTCACCTCTCCCCTAATTCTTCCACCCCCGCCCCCCGCCCCCCGCCCCAGGCTCAACTCTGCTCCTAAATATCCTCTCATCTCCTCTTCCAAGCTCTATTTTTAAAATCAGATTTCCTTTACTGTACAGGCGAGCTGACAGAGAGAGGTATTCGCTGAGGGATTTGTCCCCCCCATGCCCCCCCCACACCCAACCCTTCATAGACACACGTTGGCAGCCCTGACCCAATGGGCCACTGGCTCAGAGGCAAGCAAGGAGCTGACCCGACCGAGGCGCTGGGCACTGAAGGTGGTGAGGCTGGGGCGTCTATCTCTGAGTGTTGCGGGGAAGAGGGTCCCACTTGAAGACCTCAAAGGCAGTTCTGACCCCAAACCAGGTGCGCTAAATTCTGGGCTTTTTTTTTATATAAGGTGGGAATTTCCAAATCAGTAGACATTTCTTAAAGAAATTGTCATGACATTTGAGAACAACATGAATTGAGTCACATTTGAAAGACTGAGAATATGATTTCCACAAAGTCCAGGGAAGAGGCAGGGCCAAGGCTTTGGCAGGCCAGCTGGTGGGCAGTTGGAGCCAGGTGGGAAGCCCGTAGTGCCCACCTAAAGCCAAAACTGGGATGACTGACAGGCCCCAAAAATGCCCAAAACCTCCCAGAGAGGCGAGTGGTCAGCAGGGGTGGAGGGAAGCCCTCGCCCTGCTTCCAAGGCCCCCACTCACCTCCAGTGGGGTATTCGTCT